CCAGTTTCTCCAGGAGAATGCTGTGGGAAAGGGTGACAAAGGCTTTACTAAAGTTTACGTAGACAACATCCACAGACTTTCCCTCATCCACTAAGTAAGTCTCCTTGTCATAGAAGGAGATTGGGTTGGTCAAGGAGGACCTGCCTTTCATAAAGCCATGCTGTCCTGTCCTTTGGCCCTTCTAATTTTCTCCCTGCATAACCTCATGACATCCTTGTCGTCCTCCTGAGTGGTCTGCCCCTTCTTCCAAAGGTCATAAACTCGCCTTTTTTCCCTGAGTTCCAGCCAAAGCTCTCTGTTCAGCCAGGCTGGTCTTCTTCCCTGCCGGCTCATCTTTCAGCACATGGGGACAGCCTGCTCCTGCGCCTTCAAGTTTTTATTCTTGAAGGATGTCCAGCCCTCCTGGACTCCTCTGCCCTTCAGGACTGCCTCCCAAGGGACTCTGTCAACCAGCCTCCTAAACAGGCCAAAGTCTGACCTCTGGAAGTCCAAGGCAGCATTCACTGACCCCCCTCCTTACTTCACCATGAATTGAAAACTCTATCACTTTGTTCAGTTGTGTTAGGCTGACCTAAAGAGTCCTTTTTTTAGTCCCTTTCCTAGGAGTGCCTAGTTGGTAAGTTCACTGAATATTTAGTTGGCTGAAAAAAGAAGATGGAAATATGTGAGGAGTCAGCTAGATCAGATTAATTTAATTTGTGTTGTTTCCTTTTGCAGATACATTCAAAATATAGTTATGTACATAACGGAACAGAGCACTCATATTAAAGCAAGCAGAATTTAGTGTAATTTAATGTAATTACTAAATAGGCACACATGCTCTTTGCTACATAGGCAGTATGGTGAAGATTTTTCTAGTGACTCATAATTTTGAGAACTTCTATGTTTGATGCCAGCATGGAAGACTTTTAAAGGGCCTTATTTAAAAAAATCTGCACAAACACTGAAGATTTAGTTCTTTTGTTCCTGGTATATTTGCTTAGCTGATATTTTCTGGTTGAGCTTTCTAATGCTGCATCTGATACTCTCGTGTAGACTGGCAAATTTATATCTGTTTCGGTAACTATTTGTCTTACTTTTAAAAAAGATTTTTAAATATAAAACATAGTTAGCCTGGAAAAAATCAAAACTTAAACTACTACTTTTATATCTCTTAAAAAACCTGAGATAATTTAGGTATTTCATCTTTTTTAAAAAACCCAATAAGCTAAACTGCAAGTTCATTAATAACTGTATTATATGGCAGCCTAAAGATGACATTGCTATATATACTTAAGCTATTCAGCTGCTGCATTAAGTACGTTAGCTTCAAAATGGAAGATTATACGCAACAGGGCTTGGCAATATGCAATTATGTCTTCTTTTACATGATCATCAATCTAAGAAAAGGTTATGTGCATATATGTAAAACTCGTAATTACATATTGTAGGTGGCATCTTTGTAAACCCAAATTTAACATAGAAAATTCTAGGACCAATGAATACCACGTTCCAAACTTTCTCCTGAAACCATATTATTTGGGTAAACAAAGTACTCAGAAGGCAGTTAAGTAACTCTTAAAGGTTGCTATTGCTCTTAACCAGGAACACCTCAAAGCCCTAGTGTAGGTTACTTTCTGCTTTCAAGATCCTTGAGTAATCGGCCTTCTGTAATACCCTTTGTAGATTTAAGAGAAAACATTACCCAGAGAGAGGGACAAGGGGAGCATGTGTAAATCCCTTTTTTAGCTGATAATTTTGTAGAAGCTCTTATTTCAAACCCTTGGAAAAACATAGGAGGAAACTTTGGGTCTAGGCTTCTGGTGTTAGACTGAGATTTTGGTATCATTATGATTTCAGAAAAATTTGCTTTTGGTGTGTTATGTTCTTGTAGTTTGTTCTGGCTGGCTGATGGTCTAGATGTACATAATCCGGGTCCCGAGGATGAGTTCAACTGAGCTTTTGAGACTTTCCCAGCTTTACATACCCATGACTTCTGAGGATATGTTTGCATTCCTTTGTTTTAAACTTTTGACAAGCAGTACAAAGGAAGAATGCTCAGAACTTCTCCACATCGATGGTTGTTGCTCCTTCCCTAACCGAATCTCCCCTTAACATTCACAGGTACACACTGGTGGATATTTTGCGCGCCATTCTTCTTTCGTTAGAAGCCATGATAGAAGACCCTGAGCTTCAAGTGAATGGATTTGTTTTGATTATAGACTGGAGTAACTTCACCTTCAAGCAGGCCTCCAAGCTCACACCAAGCATGCTTAGATTAGCCATAGAGGGCCTTCAGGTAACTCTTTCTTTCTTCTCCTGATTATCCTTTGTTTTGCAGTTCATTGCAAATCTAATGGCTAAAAGAACCCAAACAAAACAAAAGTCCAAGAACTTCTGAATAGCAAGGCTGTTAACACCTTAAGGTATGGGTGGACAGATGAGCTTCAGTGGCAGGAGCTAACGTGTGAGCTCAGTCAGCTTGAAGTAACTCCTGGTGTGTAGGCTCCTTTGCCATAAATCAGAGGTAACTTTTCTGTCTTTATTTCGAAGTGTCTGGCTTCCTGTAAATTCAGACTGTAGCTTTGGCAGCAGCAAGTTAGAAGTAATCAGTTTACCTTGTTGTTTTGCACAGAGCTAATGAAATATGGGGTGCTGCTGCCATGCCAGTTTTGGGTTTTTTTGGTTTTTTTTTGGTTTTTTTTTTTGATTCCATTGGAGACAGGCTTTACATCATTTGATCTGAAAAGTGTGGGGCACTGTGATTAGACAGTTAGCTGGGACTATTTACTTACTGAAAGTTCAGCATGTGCTTGGTGCTTTTACTGGGTCAGGATTAATTTGAGCAGCAACTTCTGGGGCTGAGTATGCAGTGATTTAAATTTCTTTCTGATCATTGTAAATGCACTTTACATGGCACAGGCACATTGGTGGAAAGGATACTACATAACTCTTGGCTGTCTTCTATGATCTTTAATGCTTATTAAAATGAAAAACTAGAATCTGTAAAGTAGTTGTTTGCTGTGGACTCTTGAGTTGCTGTGTTAAGAATACCAGTAATTCAGTCTTGTGGCAGTGTGCCTTGGTTTTACAAAGACATACATTCCTTTTCTGTGATGTTTTCATCATTTATACATTTTTATTACTCATAAAACAAAGTAACAGCCTTATCTTTGAACTTTCTTCACTTTGATATTGCTATTTTTGAAGAAAATTGTGTAGTAGTAGTCTGGAGTTTTGATCTAAATCTTGAAATAGGTTAACCAGTGTTCAGCATGCTGTTGCACACAGAAGGGTAGTGACAGTCATGAGACAAAGATCTCAATTTTCATTTTGTTGTGTTTCCTTATGCAACAATGTGATTCCATGGTCTTGAGAACTACATTAGAAGGCAGCAGTGAGATCTGGACTGTAATAGTGCTGTATTCCCTTTTATTGCTTTCAAAGTTGTTTTCTTTTTTGTGCTGTTTTTCAAAGTTAGCCATTGTTTTCTTGTTTAGAACATGGATAAATGCTTTAGTAGTCTTTGTTTTTAAATGGTAGTGTTTCTTCTTGGACATTAATCAGAGGTGGCTATTTTGAGGAGAGCTGTAGTGGGCAATTGCATTTGAAAATATGATGGGTGATCTACCAAACTTCAGCTGAACTCTCTGTGTTCTGCCATTGGTTGGTACATTACTGAGTTGAGGTGAAGTCCATTGGCTTAATTTACCCATGCCTCCAGCTTTGTACATTCAAATATCCCAAGTCTGATGACGACCAGCACCCAGGGCATCATTTTGTGTTCACCGTCTTCAGTCCTGTTGACTCCAGGGATGTACAACTGTGCATGAAATGCTCCAGAAAAGGGAATGAGAAGGCACTGAAATGGCAAATGTGAAATAAAACTCTTCCAATGCTCGAGGAATCTGTCATATCGGTGACAGGTGTTGTTATCTGTAAGCAGCAACTTTTACAAGGCCTTTTAGCACAAGTATTTTGAAGAATTCAATTAGTTGGGCTCTTGTAATAGACCATTCAATTTTCTGTGGAGAACCACTGAGGGTATGAAGGCTAACATTCTTATACTAGCAAAATTGACTGACTCTCTAGTGATGTTTTCCCGGTAGTTATACTTACTTGGGGGCTTGTTTATATTTTTTTTTTCTTTTTCTTAGACTTTTTTTGTGTAAAGAAATATTAGAATCAATGCAAAGGGCTAAAGACAACTGTATTGAGCATCTTGGAGAACCTCACTTCAAAAACAATCTCAATCAGGAAGGAAATAAGAGGAAAGCATGGTGGAAAGGCGGTGCAGAGAGATCCTGGTCGCCTTCTTGCAAAATTTCATGCCTGAAATGTTACATTCCCTTACCCTCAACAGGGACTGCCTTTTCTTTTATTTTGAACAAAAATGCACAGTGGAAACATCATTCTGAATCATGTTGAAGTAAAAAGTGCTTAGTCAGGTGGCATGAAAAAGAACAAGAAAACTCTCACACACTATTATTTATGATTTTTGTAAATACTCTCTGTTTAATCAGAGAAATGGAATTTACTTTAGCTTATAAGATTTAACAGGGCTCAAGATGCCAAACTTTACCATTTGGGGAACTTAAATATTAGTGTTACTTGGGTGTAAAGGGACAGTGGAAGTGGGATTAGTGACCACCGGATTGGATGTTAACCAAATCCCTTTGCCTCCTGAATGAAATCTACTAAATCTGCATTATATTTGCTTAGCTTCCATGGTAAGCAGAATATTGAATGTGGCACGTACCAAAGTGAGTTGATCACAAGCTATGGCATTTCTGGGCTCTTCAAAACTGCTTATTTTTTAGGAAATTGCATTTGAAAATAAGTAAATATATACAGTTTTCTAGTGAATATAAATTCTGTTATACACTTTGTCTGCATATGTATGTTAAATGGGAGCATGAAAAGAATCATACCCCTAACTGACTTGTATACATCAGAAAAACCTCCTAGGTTGTTATTTTCAGGAAAAGACCCTTTTGGATGTGGAATTTTTAATGTTAAAGGACAGTGACTATCTGTAAACAGATGTGAATTTCAGCATACCCATCCCAACAGTGCTGTACCAACCAGTTGGTGTGGTGTAGATCAGTGCTGATTTTTAGAACAAATGGTTTGGCTAGCCAAAATACTCTGTTTTCTGAGAAGTGTCTGTCTGGATTATGTGCCTAGGTTTTGGCTCAGAGCTGTGAAACCTTAGCAGAAGGAAAACATTCTTTGAGAGGTGAGACCAAAAGCCATGCCCTGACTTCCTCACCTTGTGCTGGCTCTCCCCAGCACATTCAATGCACAGTTGTCTGTGAATCCCAGTGTTTTAGGTACTCACTTCTCCCCATTCATTGCTTTCTGTAGCTGAGCACTGAATTTGGGCTTGTGAGGGAGCTCATGTGACTCAGCAGCTGGGTTCCTGAAAGCAAGGGAGTGTTATGGCCTTCTGTGCTGCAGCACCCAAGTGCCTTGAATAAGTCCCTTTAAAAAACTTTGAAAAACTTTACAAAATTTTGACTCTTT